CAAGAGGGCTTCCCCTGCCTCTCTCCACAGGCCAAGAGGGCTTCCCCTGCCTCTCTCCACAGGCCAAGAGGGCTTCCCCTGCCTCTCTCCACAGGCCAAGAGGGCTTCCCCTGCCTCTCTCCACAGGCCAAGAGGGCTTCCCCTGCCTCTCTCCACAGGCCAAGAGGGCTTCCCCTGCCTCTCTCCACAGGCCAAGAGGGCTTCCCCTGCCTCTCTCCACAGGCCAAGAGGGCTTCCCCTGCCTCTCTCCACAGGCCAAGAGGGCTTCCCCTGCCTCTCTCCACAGGCCAAGAGGGCTTCCCCTGCCTCTCTCCACAGGCCAAGAGGGCTTCCCCTGCCTCTCTCCACAGGCCAAGAGGGCTTCCCCTGCCTCTCTCCACAGGCCAAGAGGGCTTCCCCTGCCTCTCTCCACAGGCCAAGAGGGCTTCCCCTGCCTCTCTCCACAGGCCAAGAGGGCTTCCCCTGCCTCTCTCCACAGGCCAAGAGGGCTTCCCCTGCCTCTCTCCACAGGCCAAGAGGGCTTCCCCTGCCTCTCTCCACAGGCCAAGAGGGCTTCCCCTGCCTCTCTCCACAGGCCAAGAGGGCTTCCCCTGCCTCTCTCCACAGGCCAAGAGGGCTTCCCCTGCCTCTCTCCACAGGCCAAGAGGGCTTCCCCTGCCTCTCTCCACAGGCCTAGAGGGCTTCCCCTGCCTCTCCACATGGGCCTAGCGTGCTACCACTGCCTCTCCACATGGGCCTAGCGTGCTTCCACTGCCTCTCCACATGGGCCTAGCGTGCTTCCACTGCCTCTCCACATGGGCCTAGCGTGCTTCCACTGCCTCTCCACATGGGCCTAGCGTGCTTCCACTGCCTCTCCCCCAGGGCCCAGGCCTAGCGTGCTTCCACTGCCTCTCCACATGGGCCTAGCGTGCTTCCACTGCCTCTCCACATGGGCCTAGCGTGCTTCCACTGCCTCTCCACATGGGCCTAGCGTGCTTCCACTGCCTCTCCACATAGGCCATGTGTGCTTCCAATGCCTCTCCACATAGGCCATGTGTGCTTCCAATGCCTCTCTCTATAGGCTTAAGTGTGCTTCCCATGACTTTCCACATAGGCCTAGTGTGCTTCCCCTGTTTTTCTCCATAGGCCTAGTGTGGTTCCCCAGGGCTAGCACAAAAGTCACTGGAAGAGACTGGTTATGTTTAGCTATGCACTGGCAGGCACATTGTTCTGCCCCTTTAGAGCCTGCAGCCAGCTGAAAACACGATTAGCTGACTCACTACCTGGGCAGGTAACATTCCTCCAAAACCACACCACACAACATAACCCCTGCCCAAAAAAAGAAAAATAGGCCTTTGTCTTTGTAATCAGGTAACCAATAGACTGTTTATGTTTCTACAACGGCTTTTACAGCTACAAAATGCATACTGTGCCAGCCCCAGCAATGAAGCACTTATTCTGTTTGTTATTATGTAAAGGTACCCATACACCTTACAATTTATCTGCAGATTTTCTGTGGTCAGATGTAAAAAGTGCAACAGATTGGCCCAGGTGGAGATTACTCCATCCACACAGTTAAGTGTAGATGGAGGAATCTGTTGCACCTTTTCCATGTGACCACAGAAAATCTGCAGATAAATTGTAAGGTGTGTGGGCAGCTTAAAGCTTACATTCCCATTGATCAGATTTGTGAAGCATATATGCAAGCTTGTGTGTGTTCCTATGGCTTTTACAAAGCAGGAGATAGCTAGGTTTATTTTCCTCAACAAAGCCATAATGGTTATCCCTGTAAAAGCATTGTTTGATGTGATGTGCATAGCAATGTGTCACAATTACTGACACAATGACACCCGCTCCAGTCACAAACACAACCAGCGGGGAGGCAAGGCGTGGTGACAATACCCCTTGTTCACAGCTGACGTCAGCCCGATCTGCCACAGTAAATACAAGCACCTAATTCTTTTCAGCTGATCAAGCAAGATTTTTTTTTTTTTCCATCTTAATCACAATATGCTGCATCACATCAAAGCTGCCCAGCGCGGCCACCAGCTGGATTTCCATAAATAGTGGAAAGGCATGCAAAATAGACAGATTTTTACAAACCGTACTCTGCTGTCAGTGAAAGTGCCTGTCAGACCCACATGTCTGTGTAAGGAAGGCGAGGCAGGGCGTGCAACCAACGCTGATTATACCGGCTAAGTGCAAGTAACGCCGCAACCAAATCAGCAGCCGGGTACAATTATGAATCGAATACATTTACAAGAGAATAATCAGGCTCAGTGCGGCTGCTGCAGATTAACTGAGAACGCTTTATGTAGATCTGTATATTCCGTATACACAGATCAAAGGAAATATCCTTTACACAAAGCAGTTCTGTACACAAGGTTATTGCATTATAAAACCTACTAAGGGAATGGCAACATTGGAAATAACTGCAACACTGTAAATAACTGCAACATTTGAAATATTTGGCAAGGGATTCTTTGCAGAATAACTAGTGCATCCACATGACTGGATGTGATGACACAGGACTGCCAGGGAGCACAATCTGTTCAATTATAACATTGTCCCTTCTATGAATTGTATATTTACTAACACTGCTTAGTAATGTCCAGATTGTCTTTTGTACAAATTGTAGATTTCATTGTTTTATTTTGTAAAGCAACGTGCAAAGTGGTGTCATATGAAATCATGTATTATATTATTAAT